GACAAGCACGAGCGGTATGAGGAGACATACGAGGGATGCCATATCTTCAACCCTGGCAGCTTCATCGGCAACAGCTTCGGATTCTCAACGTACTTCCCATACAATGGACGATCGGAAGAATCGTGAGTCCTGTTCTGAGAGCCGTGATATGACGCTCATCAAACTCCCTCAGAATGATGGATGATGTGATAAATGGCCGATAGCGACCACGATGTACTCTACAATGCCAAGGCCTAATATGTATGAATGCAAATCCACGCCAGATCGGTTGCTCAACCCTCTTCGTCGCTCCCATCCCGGCTCGCCTCGACGTATAGAACTTGCGTCTCAGGTTCATCCTTGCTTTTCAACGTCTGCAGAGGCAGTTCCGTCGTCCCATCTTCGAAGCCTTCCTCGCCCTGCAGTCCTTCGTACCTGTAGTCATTCCCCCCTTCGCGAGGTGCTGAGGAAACGTCAGCATTCGCTCTGAAGCAGGAAGAAACAGCACCATTATTGTTTGGCAGATCCTACCTGTTGAGAACTACATGAAAGTGTGAGTTGGCTGTAGTCGATGTGAAGATGTACTGCTACGTACGACTGTGACCACGGTTCCATCCGGGAGATACTCCTTTCTCTGTACCAGCTCATAGCCGAATATGGCTGGCAAGAACACCCTCCATGCCGCCCAATACAGTGCACCGATTAGCATGACGGCGATTCCGACAATGGGGTAGAGCCAATACGGCAAGGGCGGCGTGTCTCCGACCCCGTTACCCGGGCGAAGGAAGGGCGCAACCAAAAGGAAGCATGCAGCCACGAGGAAGAAGAATGCAAACGGCCACCAGACCTTGAAGGGCCGTGGGGCATCCGGGCTTTTATAGCGTAGCCAGAATAGACCCGTTACGACTAATAGGTTGACGATCTGGCCGGGATAGCCTTGAACGTTCAGGATGAATGGGTAGGCTACTCGCGCCGGAGGGCCGATGATGACGATCACGGAAGGAATCAGATGGATGATTAGGCCAGCCAGAGGGGAGCCCGCTGGCCAGTTGCTAGCCCAGAGCTTGTTACCGAACGGGAGTGGGATGCCTTCTTTCGCCAGCTCTTGATTGACACGGCCTTGGGCGAACGTGGCCGTGACCACATTCCCGAGCGCACTTAGAGCGACGAACACAGTGAGTGCCTTTTGGGCATCCGCACCGAACACATTCCCGAAGAAGAGTGATGCCACCGTCACGCCGCTCGACTTGATTTCCTCTGGGGTTGCTGCTGCGAAATAGGCGATGTTGGCGAATATATAGAACACGAAACACAGACCAAGGCCCTGCGATGTTAGACTGAGTCTCTGGCCGAGTGCATGTCAGGAATAGAGCTCACGAGAGGGCCAGCGATCATAAGCGTCCGAACAGGATCTTTTACGTTGTTCAGGACGTAGTTGACGCTGCTCCAGCCTCCATACGCGTTCAGCACTTTGAACAGCGCTGACGCGTAATCATTGCTGTTCTTCGAGCTTCCGGCGAAGACGTTCTGGAAGCTGGCCATTGGGTCCTTGATCCGGGTCTGTCCGCCTAGGACGGCCCAGCCCGTGACAACGACAAACAGGAGAATGAATATCTTGAAGAAGGACAGAGCGTTCATAACCCAGATGCCGAGACGAGGCGTGATCCCGTGTAGTAGGGTAACAGAGAATATCACTGATAACTCGTCAGGAACGTTTTCGCGTTTGGATCCTCAGACACGCACCAGCTAATGCAATAGCTCTTGCCAACCATGGACTCGGATTACTGTTCCCTGCCGCAATTAGTATATTGCTCGCAAAGACGATGCATCCACTGGCGGAGAATCCAAGTATGATTGCATTCGTAGCAAAAATGATGGTGGCCAGATACTTGGGCCTGTGATACACGGCCTCCAGGTACACCTTTTCGCCTCCTGAGCGCGGAAACATGGTCCCGAATTCAAGCCAGACGAAAAGGCCGCACACGGCGATGAGGAAACCGACTACCCAGAGGATGAACGAGGCGCCGACGGAGCCGACGTTGATGAGGATGAACGAGGAGGTCGAAAAGATGCCCGTGCCAATGATGTGGCCGATGCTGTCCGTAGCGACAGTCCTTGTCAGCTAGGTAGAGAGTAGAGGGGATGAGCTACGCACATCAGGAGTGTGCAGCTAACGACACCTAGGTGCCGGCCCATTCCACCTGCAGCATCCTCCTCGAAGGTAATCCCACCCGGTGTCCATCCAGCCTCACCCTCCGCAATATCTCCCACTTCCTCAACTCCCGCTGCATCTTTGCCTGGTGACCGCTCGAAGCTGGGTCTGGTGTCCAAAGGGCCCATGTCTACTCGTCCGCCAGGTTCACGATAACGGCAAATTCGGGCGCTCAGTGCTTCATCTGCGGTAGTTTGACGCCATATGTATCTTCCAAAGCTGGTCTTCGCAGAGTATAGGGTTTGTATTCGCACCCAACTGATGCTTCCAGAGACAGAACAAGGACGATAGAGATATTACGGGAAGAGGGGAAGAGGGCAAGTCTACACCGAGGACTTCGCCGCGAACCCTGACAAGCCTGTTCGCGCGACTCCCGGCAGGTGCGAAACACGATGAGGATGAATTCAAACAACATTTATCTGCTTGTGAAGTACCAGATTTGCGACGGGCATGCATGACGAGCTTCTGGAACAAATGACATTATGCGCAGGGCTTTTCCAGTCGTACTACGTTGTAGGAAAACTCAGAAACTCAGTTCTTCGCAACCCTTCCTGAGGAGAACTGGTCCAAACAATCATTAGCGGTAGCCGCAATTGGTAGATCGTGACACGTACAACAGTGACCACCGTCCCATCCGAGAGGCGCTCCTTCGTCGGTATGAGCTCATACCCAAACACACCGGGCAGTATCACTCTCCAGATTGCCCAATAGAGCGCGCCCGTCACCATGATAGCGATGCCCACGATCGGGTAGAGCCAGTATGGCAATGGTGGTGTGTCGCCGACTCCATTGCTCGGACGCAGGAACGGCGCGACGAGGAGGAAACACGCTGCGACGAGGAAGAAGAACGCGAATGGTAGCCAGACCTTGAACGGCCGTGCTGCGTGCGGACGCTTGTAGCGGAGCCAGAACAGCCCCAGCACGACGAACAGGTTGATGATCTGACCCGGATAACCTTCGATATCAAGGATGAAGGGATAGGCCACCGCCGCGGGAGGACCGATGATGATGATCACCGAGGGGATCAGGTGGATGATCAGCCCTGGAAGAGGGGCGCCGGCCGGCCAGTTGCTCGCCCAGAACTTGTTGCCAAATGGAAGCGGGATGCCCTCCTTTGCGAGCTCCTGGTTGACGCGACTCTGCGCGAAGGTGACCGTGATAACGTTACCCAGCGCGCTGAGAGCCACGAAGACTGTAAGCGCCTTCTGGGCTTGAGAGCCGAACACGTTGCCGAAGAACAGCGAGGCGACCGTAACGCCGGAGGATTTGATCTGCTGCGGTGTTGCGGCCGAGAAGTACGCGATGTTCGCGAATAAGTAGAAGACGAAGCAGATTCCAAGACCCTAGAGTCACTGTTAGCTTACGATCGCATGCGCGAAAGGAAACATCGTACGAGAGGACCGGCGATCTTCAGCGTCCTTACCGGGTTCTTGACATTATTCAAGACGTAGTTGACGTTGCTCCACCCAGCGTACGCGTTCAGTACCTTGAACAGCGCGGTCGCATAGTCGTTGCTGCTGTGCGAACTGCCCGCAAACGCATTATGAAAGTTTGCGGTGGGGTTCTGCACGCGCGTGTGTCCACCGAGGACGACCCAGCCCGCGACAACCACAAAAAGGAGAAGGGCGACCTTAAAGAAGGAGAGGGCGTTCATCAGCCAGACACCCAGGCGCGGGGTCAGGCCGTGCAGCAAAGTGACGAAGAAAATGACTGGTGTGCTGTTAGAGAGCGCCTCGCGATGGACCTGCGGCACGTACCTCCCAAGGCGATTCCTCGCTCCACCCACGCATTCGGGCTGGAGACCCCGGCCGCGATGAGAATATTGCTAGCGAAGACGATACAACCGCTTGCGGTGAACCCCAGAATGATCGCATTCACCGCAAAAATTACGGTAGCGAGGTACTTGGGCTTCCGGTAGACCGCCTCGAGGTAGACCTTCTCCCCGCCAGAGCGGGGGAACATGGTGCCGAACTCGAGCCAGATGAAGAGACCGCAAATGGAGATGAAGAAACCGAGCACCCAGAGCATGAGCGATGCCCCCACTGAGCCCACACCGGAGAGAATGGATGATGGCGTGGAGAAGATGCCGGTGCCGATGATGCGACCGACGCTGTGCCAAGGTCAACTCATCTTGAACGGCATGATGGAGGACCAGGGCCTACATCAACAGCGTGCAGCTCACAACGCCCAGATGTCTTCCCATTCCTCCCGCCGCATCTTCCGCGAAGGTGATACCGCCAGGTGTCCATCCAGGCTCCCCTTCAGCGATGTCCCCGACCTCTTCAGCGCCGGTCTCATCTTTGTTTGCGCGAGGCTCCTCGGCGACATCCTCTGGCGAGCGCTGAGTGGCCTTCTCATCCACGCTGCCAGCTGTAGAAGCAGCAAGAGTATTTTGTTGGCCGCGAAGTCGATCTAGGAATCCCATGTCTGGAAGTTGGAGCAAGGGGATTCCACGGAGCAAGAATGCACACTATAAAAAGATTACAGACTTGTCCACGAGCGTTTAATCACTCATTTTGCCGCCCGTTGACGCCATATGCAACCTCATGGCATCTTGACCGAGCTTGCCATTTCCGGTGCACACGCCACAGAAGATTGTAAGAAGAGAATATCAAGCTGCTGGATAGGTGCAGATGGCGTAAGAAAGTCGCAAGACCGTTTGGAGCGGGTTGACCACATGCTCCACCGCGGCTAGCGACTCTTCGCGAAAACAAAGAAGGGACGGGAAGTGGACCCTGGCCAACGCGTCATTTTTAGATGGACGCGCATCTGTACTTTTATCCTAGGAAGGAACGCAAAAAGAAGTTGCTGATGAGAGTGGGATTCGAACCCACGCCCTTTCGGACAAGATCCTTAGTCTTGCGCCTTAGACCGCTCGGCCATCTCACCTGCGCTGAAAACAAGCTTGACCATTCCATACTGATCGTACATACCGCTTACCGGACTTTGCCGCGCAGAGTCCCCACCCAATTGTGTTTCGCCCGCTGGTTCTACAACGTGAACATCCGTCATCGTGTCTACTTCAGTAGATTGCTCCAGGGTAGCGCTTTCTGCACGCCCCATCGGGCTGGTTCGAGCAACTTTGAGTCACGTCATAGTGAGCTGGGTCAAAAACAGGATCCAATTGCGATTACTTGTTGTACAGAGTCTAGGCTAGCCAGTGCATCTTTTTGTCCCGATGATAATCCATACACAGATGCAATGAGATATGATATTCTAAAACGAATGTGGCCCAGGTATATCCAGATGACAGCATTGCCTCCCTATCGCGGCAAATGATGTGAGATTTATGCCGCAGAAGCGCCCATCTTGATACCGAGGGCCTTGATGTTGTGATTCCTGGTGAGGAGGGCGCAGAGCGCACCGAAGACACCGCCGGGCACGCCAATGAGGTAGACATAGTCGAGTGCCTTCACGTACGCCTCGACAATCGGGCCCTGCTGGTCGGCAGGCAGCGTCTGGACGACAGTGACGGACTCCTTGATGGCCTGGGCGATCTCTGCGGGGAGGGTAGGCGCGTAGATGGCGAGCTCCTTGGTCAGCTGGTTCGAGAAGATCGTGCCGGCGATGCAGATGCCGATGACACCGCCGACGAGCTGGGCGAACGTGACGAGCGAGGTGGCCTGCGGGATCATCCGCTCGTTGTCGTGGTACTCTGCTTGGATGGCGATGACGACGTTCTGGAGGGCACCGCCGACACCCGCGCCGAAGAGGATCTGGTAGCCGATCATCTTCGAGTTGGGCGCGTCGGCGTCCAGGGTGAAGAGCAGGCCTGCGCCGATGGCGGTGATGAAGGGGGAGAAGAAGAGGAAGGGCCAATACCGGCCTGTGAAGCTGATCACACCGCCGGAAACGGCAGCGAAGATAACGACGGCAAGCATGAAGGGCAGGATGTCGATGCCGGACTGGGTCGCCGAGTGGCCCTTGGCCTGGTACTGCAGCGGGAGGTAGTAGGTGGCGAGCAGCATGCCGAGCATGACGAAGAATGCCTCGAGGCAGGTGCCGATCTGGGTGCGCCTGCGGAAGAGGGCGAGGGGAAGGACGGCGCGCGGGCCCATGCGCCACTCCCAGGCGATGAAGGCGGCGAGGACAGCGCCGAAGACACAGAAAAGGGCAATGACGGACGGGTCGTTCCAGGGCTTGAGGTTGCCGCCCCACTGCAGCGGGAGCAGGAGGGTGACGACCATGGCCACCGAGAGGAGTGCGCCGATCCAGTCCATGTACAACCACCGCTGCAGCTGTGTCATCCCGTCCGTCGCGTCAGAGCCGATTGCAGGGCGCGCCTCGATGATGAGCATGATGACGCCGATGGAGATGGCACCGATGGGCAGGTTGATGTAGAAGCACCAACGCCAGGTAACGTGGTCGGAGAAGGCACCGCCGAGAAGCGGGCCAATGACGGAGGACACGGCGAACACAGCACCGAACGAGCCGAAAAGCATTGGCCGGTCCTCCAGTCGCGTGATCTGGGCAATGATAGACAGGATGGACACGAAAATGCTGCAAAGCTCGTCAGTACTCATTCGCACAATTCTGGGAGGTAATTCTTACCCTGCAGCGCCGATACCCGCGAATGCACGGCCGAAAATCAGGACATTGACATTGGGCGCAACACCGCAAATGAGGGAGCCGAGCTCGAAGATGGTAATAGCGGTGATATAGACCCATTTGGTCGGGGCGATGACGAGGAGCTGGCCGTAAAGCATGAGGAAGCCTGCCTGGGTAAGGAAATAGCCCGAGGCGATCCACGTGACGTCGTTGAGGGAGTTGAAGTCGGAGGCGATGCGGGGGATGGCCGTGGCCGTGATGGTTTGATCGAGCGCGACGAGGAAGATCGAGAGAAGCATGGCACTGCGCGTCTTGTCAGAGATCGGCTCGATCACACGGTTCGGACTGCACTCACGTGAAGGCGAAGAAGAGCTTCCAACCCGTCAGATATCGCTTGTCATCCGCAACGTCGAACGCGCCGCTGTTGCCTGCCGGTGCGTCGACAGCGCTTTGCGGAGAATCCTCCTTCTTGAGGTTTCCATCGTCGGATATTCTGGCCTCGTTCGGATGCCCGGTCTTCTCGTTCGGCGAGCTGGAACCTTGGCGCACATCAGCCGTCGACATCATCGGCGTGTTGACGACCGTCGGCTCCGGATCAGGGCCGGTTTCCTCCTGCGACGAGTTGGTCGCAGACGAGGGCTGCAGCGGTGGCTGCCCATCGAAAACGGGGTAGACGGGCATGGTCGTGTAGCGTTGCTTTCAGGTGGGGTAAGGGGCGGATGTGCGGTCAGGTGCGAAATGAAATATATGCACAGAAGTGGTTGCCAAGAATCTCCGGTCGGCTAATGCACGAGACAGCGATGAGCACAGATGATGACGCTGGGTTGGCGCAAGCGGGGATCTGAGATCGCTAGGCGCGTCGGAAGGATACCGGGGCAGGGGAGATGATATGATGAACAGTCAGTACGGGAGGGAGCAGCCCCGTGCTCGATGCTCTTTAAAGGCGGCCTGCCCCATTTTTGCCCGTACTTTGACGCATCGGGACGCTCGGGGCCCGGGGCCGAGCGGTACGATTTGTCGGGAAGGGCGGAGAGGGAATCGTTGGAGGTCTTCCAGTCTTCTCTGGGCGGCAACACCAGGTCCGGCACGGGCTGACGAGTCCTCCGGCCGGACGAAGACGGGGCTGGACCCCCCCAGGACGGTTGGGCCCTGAGTGTGCGCTCCCACCCCATCTCCATAGGGCAATAGGGAGATTGGAGCCTTGGCGCTAGGTGTCACCACGATGGTAGCATGCCATCTTGTTCGCCTCCTCTCCCGCTTGGAGCTCACTGGATGACTTTCCGTAGACCTAGATCGTAGATTTTTCGACACAGATCCTAAACGGAAGCAGTTTTTGGACGACAAAACACAGATCACAGATGCTAACCTAAACCGTAGGATGCACGCACACACCGTCCTAGATCCTAGATTTGTCATCTGCACAACACAGATCACGCAATGTGTTAAATTGGGGTCCTCCAGAGGCTGTGCCATTGTTTACCCTAGGAAGCAAATTGCACAGCATTTGTATGTGCAGGCAGGCGCTCCATGTGAAGGTGTGCTTCCGTGAGGGTCTAGGAGAGCAGAAAAGATCTAGGAGAGGGGGGGGGACCCCTCTCCTAGATTCAACATCTAGGACGGACGATAAGCAATCTAGGAGTGCTCCGGAGTTTGAATTTCGACAGCGGCACCTCGGCAGACCCTGTGTGGCGCATCTAGGATGCTCAAAATCTAGGATCTAGGTCTACGGAAAGTCATCCACTAGTCACATTGTCAGTGGCGCGACGACGCCGCCGGCCGCCGGCCGACCCACGATTTCGAGTCAGGGCCGCCTTTGACTAAGCGGAAGCAGATTCAGTCCACCCATGCTGCCAAGCAAAGAGAAAGATGACGCGAGATGACTAGGCCCAATCAGGTGCGCACGCTTCCATCGGCCCCGGTGGGTGGCTGTCCGCCCTCCGCAACCCTATTCCCTTCTTCACCTTTCTCAGAGGTTCTATCCCGGTTGCAATGCGAATCTCGAAAAGATAAATCATGAATGGCATGGCATTTTCCGGAACTGGCGCGCAAAAATGATCTGTACCGTATAGCAACTTCTCGATTACGCGGAATTCGCACCACTTTCGAAATTTGGGCCTCCCAAAAAACAAGAGTTACAGTAACTTACGTGCTTAACTTATCCCATTTCAATTTGATTAACTTATCAGTGAGTGATACATACAGACAAGATCCCAGCACATAAGGCCAGTCGAACAGCCGATCGTGAGAACCGCCGCTGCCTCACCACACCGGAATGGAGTCGTGCAAAGTCAAGAAACACACTTGTTGCGCGAACGTGTACTGTATGTACCGGGGGGGGGGGGGGGGGGGGGGGGTGTTAGCGGTCGGCTGCTACGCGGCCCTTGGGGCAAACGTAAGGACGGTGGACGGCCGGTGATTGAACACGATGGTCCACGGCCCGCGCTCGGTGAGAGGTGCTTCTGGTTGGAAAGACTATCAACGATGGCCGACTTGTGCTGTCCGAACGCGTCTCCCCAGTTTAGTCTCACAAAGCGCTCAACAATGGCTATGTATGCTAAGCTCCTCACCCGGGCCCCGAGTTGAGGGCAAACGGTCACCGGCCACCGTCAGGCGAAAGCGAACGCGCATGGCCACCGGCCACCTCATGCACTCCTCGTTGCCGAAAAGACCGCCGAGAGAAGGAATTCTCAGATGGAGGTCTCTCTTTTCTCCCCGTGCAGAATGCGTGCGTGCGTACCTGCATTGCATGCCTGTGCGCGCAGTCTAAAATGCGCAAGCGCTCCCTCCCGGCCTCCGGGCCCTTAAGTCAGCGGCGCCGGTGTGGGGGCCGTCGGGCCGTTGTCTTGCTCAGCGGCTGCGGGAAGGGGGTTATCTATAGGGCACGGGCCGACCGACCGCAATGGTTCCCTCCTGTGCTCGGGGAGAGGCTCTCTGGGGAGGAGTCAGCTTTCGTGGCGCTGGAGAACGACTGGGGGACGACTCAAGGTGGGCAGGCTCACTGTTCTCGGAAGTCTGCTCAGGCATACACTGCTGTGTCACACAGCCGCACTTCTCTCAAGAGTGTACATTACTCGATAATCGACAACAACATGAAGACTACGCCCCCGTCCTATATGCAATCCGCCAATTCAACTGTATCCCCTCAGATAACGAGAAAAGTCCTTGTGTACAGATTAACTAAAAATCTACTGCTTCCCCTCGGACGGATGGTCCACCTGCGGTAACAGCCAGAGCTTAGCGCCTGTAGGCGCCCTGCCCCTGTTGCCACCCTTGCACAGGCTGCTGTCCCTGCGGAGGCGGGGGGCCCCACTGCTGCTGCTGCTGCTGCTGCATCGGCGGAT